CCTCGTCCATAAGCCAAAATCTTTGGCGTCCGTTTGGACCAACTCTTCACGTTCCTGGACCATGTCGGGGAGGCCGCAGGCAAAGTGAGTCGCTGGACCGCGGTCCTCAAGACCTTAACTGGCACATCCTGGGGCTGCGCGAAAGGGACTTTAGCGACCACATGCAAAGCGCTGGCCGAGTTGCATCTCACTTATGCGGCGCCCATCTGGTCTCCTACGATCAGCTCTTCCAGACTTTACTGCCCTCAGTCAGCAAACAACGCGGCCCGACGCTCAATCCCGGCTTGCTATAAAATGGAACCTGCTGCTTATCTTCATGCGGAGGCCTCTATCCTTCCGGTCGCCTCTCATAACGCTTCCTTGGGTCAGTGGCTTTGGTGGACCTGTTCGCATCCCGGTCATCCTAATAAACACCGTTGCCACACTCCTAAACCCCGCCTCAGCGTTCGCACATCGATGAGAACTCTCAAAAAGCCAGCTGTCGCCTCATTTCTCTCAGATCTACCCACCGATGGCTCTGCCATCATGAAAGGCTTCCAGCGCCCGGATCAACAAGCCGTTTTCGACGCTAAACTCAACTACCAGCTTACGGTCTCTTTAGGCGGCTATCCACCTCCGATTGCGGCCTAGAAACGAAAACTCTCGAGGGTCACTCGCTGTACCTTGGCTCCACAAGCAGTGGCTACTCTATGCTACTTCGCCGGTACAAACACCGGCTCGACCTGTCCACATCCGACAGCTGTCCCGATTGTAGCGTCTCTCCACACGACTGTCAGCATCTCTTTGTCTGCAGTTCCCGGCCAAGCACCCAACACACCCCCATGGACCTTTGGCTCAAGCCAAACCATCGCGGCTTTTCCCCCTCTTTTAACTACAACCAATTTAGATTCCGGTGGGGACTTTTGATTCAACAAGGTCTAGAACACACACAAACACACACATCCCGCCCGTGCTACTGTAACGACTCACATGGCAATTTATGTTGTTTCCCCGCATTCTTTGGCCGCGTTGTGTCCAGTAGTCGTTGACGAACTTTCATCGACCGCTAACGGAACTCACTTGTCCCGCTCCGCCTTTGCCTTGGGCATCATCTATCGGGCCCTGACAGCAGCTGTAGCAGCTAATGGTATAGGCAAATAATACTGACGGCAAAGATTGGCGGACAACGGCTAATAAGCCAGAAATGGCCATTCTTGTCTCCTTTGACGTCGCCTACAATACTATGTGCATATTCACCAGCATTAGCAAACTACGCACACGGAAAGTAGTGGCACATAACGAGAACTGTGAGCTTGAATGTTCAGTCTCTGAAGGTTGGTAAATGAAGCAAATATCGGAAACTGTAGATACTTAAGCTTCCATATGAGTTTTTAACTGTTTCAAAATAAATATTACTCGACGGGGATAAGGGAAAAAATCAAATCAGATGGCGTACCATCAACGAGTTCCATCAACGAGTTCACTAGACGATGGCGCTTAAACATTAGTTCGAAGAGTTCGGCGCAGATATTATCGGCCAACTCATGGGCCTGATGATCATAATTAATTGGGGCTTGAGCGCAAATTTCTTTTGAAATAGCGTTGATTAATTCGTCCCTCGGTAGGGAGAAATTGAAGATCGTATCACCGTAGTCACTGAGGTAATCATTGATACGCTCACACCGTTTGACAAACTGTAGGAGAACACGATGCATTATTAACGGTAGAATACTGTACAGGCAAGCCAGCATTCATTTTAGCAATTATAGGGCTCAGGTTATTTAAGAGTATTAGGGGCAGAAAGTTGGACAACCACGTAAACTAGCAGAAATCGAATAGTGTCCAGAATGTTTGTGTTGGAACGAGACAGAAGATGAGTCAACACTCTAGCCGTCCTCGGGTCAGGATGACAAGGAGAAAAAAAGCGATGGCGAATCGAAGGCAATCAGAATAAAACAGGAAGGCGAAATATCAGTTTTCATCCTGTAGTCAGGAGACATAGACAAACGCCAGTGTAATATGATTATCAAAATAGTTGTCTTCAGAACACGATAACGTCCGCTAAAGGTTGCTTATATGGCTCCCTAGACAGGACATGGGAACAGGAATGCCCGCATGAGAAATAAAGGTGGCCCTGTGCATAATTACAGGAAAAGTAAATAGTCCTTCGTCTTAACACCAGCATCAGGCCTAACGTAAACCTGCAGCGTGGCCCTAATTGTATGCCTGATCCTAGTCCTTGGGCCACCTTTCTATAAGGCACACTGTGGAGCTCGTCGGATACGACGACAATCGCTGCCAGCTCGCAGTAGGTGTTTTTTAACCGCGCAAATTCCCTGGTTTCCCCGACCTACCTAAATAAATTCAACAGGTAGTAAAACTACACAGCAGCCAGAGTGGCTGGTGTGTTAATGATCGTTTGTGCGTAAGAAGCCCA